CCCCCCCCCCAATTCGGGGTCCACGCCTACCGTTCTTTTTTTTTTTTTTTTTTTTTCCCTTCACCTTTTTTTCCCCCTTCTAAGCAGCCCATCACATGCGGCATTGGCCACGACCTCAACTCCCTCACCCGTTCTTCATTTGTGTATGCTGTAGAGAGGTGCCGCCGTCCACACATCTTGACAATCAAGTGCGCATGGGAGTTGGGGATCTACGTCGGCGATTTACTTCCGATTTACTTCCCTCCATCTCACCTTTTTATTTTCTTTTTCTTTTTTTTAAGGTGTCGTTGTCGTTGTTGTCGCTGTTGTCGTGCGGATGTCTCTGTACCACGAGGCAGCAGAGCTGCTGCAGGCATCGCCGTCAGAAGGCGGCAGTCTCAAAGCCCGCGTGTTTGGGAAGAAGGACCTCAAATCTCCTCCCGGGCAGCTATACGCTCTAGTGCTGGAGACATGCAAATGGAGTTCTGTTCTCAAGGAGGTGGTGGACCGGGCTGGGATTCTCAAACTCGAGCGCAAGGTGAGTCGGCCAAGATCAAAGCCATACGGGAGATTGTGAACGGTTCCATACCATAGGCAGGTTGACTGATGCGACAGGAAAACAAAAACCAGCTCACGCCGGCGCTCTCGATACTGCTAGCGCATGACCTGCTGCTAGCCAAGGGCGGCGTTGCACTCCCCCAGAGCCACGGACTCAGGCAGAGCATAGAGAGACACAAGGGCAGGCTCAGCTCGGAGCTGACCCTGGCGCGTATACGTCGCAAGCTGCCGACGACGGAAGCCCTGCGAGAGCAGGTCGAGAAGGCAGCCGTGGGCGACGGGGCCGGCTACCCGCGCTGGGTGCGCGTCAATGCGCTCAAGAGCAGCGTGGAGGAGCAGCTGGAAACGACCTTTTCCCGCTACGACCGGGCCGCCGACCTGGATCAGGTGACGGCGTCGACAAAGGCGACAGGGAAGGCTGTCTACATAGACCCCCACGTCCCTGGCCTGCTGGCCGTCACGCAGGGGACGGACCTGAGCAGGACGGAGGCCTACACGTCCGGCAAGATCATCCTGCAGGACAAGGCATCATGCTTCCCCGCATACCTTCTCGACCCGCAGCCCGAAGACGGCGACGTGATAGACGCCTGCGCTGCACCCGGGAACAAGACGACGCACCTGGCCGCCATCCTGCGCCAGCACCAGCCCGAGTTTGAGAGCCCCGCGCAGACAATCTACGCCTTCGAGAAGGATGCGCGCAGGGCCAAGACGCTGGACAGGATGGTCAGGATCGCCGGATCGAGGGAGACGACGCGCATAGGTCCCGGGCAGGACTTCCTCCAGGTGGACCCCCGCGACGGCAGGTACGAGGGCGTGGGTGCGCTGCTCCTGGACCCGAGCTGCTCGGGGAGCGGCATCGTGGGCCGGGACTCGATGCCGGAGCTCCACCTGCCCGGCACGGCGAATGCTACGGCCGATGGTGACGACGACGGCAAGGGCGGAAGAGGCTCGGCCAGGAACCCACGCAAGAGAGAGCGCGACCAGGCCGGCGGGAAGGAGGAGGAGGCGGAGAAGAAGGTCATGGTGGACGACGACGGCAACGAGACGGTGGTGCAGTCGGACAAGGATCTCAAGGCGCGTCTCAGGGCACTGTCGGGCTTCCAGCTCACGCTGCTGCTGCACGCCTTCCTCTTCCCCGGGGCCAGGAAGGTGACGTACTCGACGTGCTCGGTGCACGCGGAGGAGAACGAGCACGTGGTGATGGCGGCGCTGACATCGGAGGCCGCACGGGCTCGCGGATGGCGCATCCTCACCCGGCCAGCCCAGGTCGCCGGCATGAGGGACTGGCCGGTGCGCGGTCTCCCAGAGGAGTGCGGCGGCGATCGAGACGTGTCGGAGGGGTGCATACGCTCCTACAAGGGTGACGGACGGGGGGTCATGGGCTTCTTCGTCGCAGGATTCGTGAGGGATGGTAGATCCGGCGATGGGCATGGGCATGGGCAGCAGAAGCAGCCGGAGGAGGAGGAGTCGCCGTACGTGCAGAATGATGACGGCAGCATCGTGCGGGACGTGACAGGTATGCCGGTCCTCCGGTCGACGGGACTACCCGTGTCTCTAGAACCGCGCGAAGGGGCGGTCAGCAGCGGTCACGACATTGACGTAAGTAGCGGCGATGCAAGCGACGACGAGGAGGACGGGGAGGACGGGGAGGACGAGGAGGACGGGGAGGACGGGGAGGATGAGGACGAATGGGGCGGGATTGATGACTAGGCCATGGACTGGTAATCCGTCCGTACATGCACGGGGCACCGAGGCGATGGACTCGAAACCCGAGGCGCGGGCAATGTCGGGGTGGCAAGTTTAGCTTACAGGGTTGGAAGGATCGAAATGATGCTTATGTAAAAATAGAATAAGGGAAGGGATCAAGGACCTTGCCATAGTGACGATCGAATACGACGTCGATACGGCCAAGGGCTACGTGCACTCGTCGTAGGCATTGATTGCTTTCGTGTTGACGAGTTTACTATTGATTCTACTGTTAGTACTATTGTTACGACTACTGCTACTACTACTACTACTATCATCATCATCATCATCATCATTATTATTACGTTTACTACGAGTGTTACTACGAGTACTAATATTGATACCATCACTACCACTTCTACTCAGTAATATTGCGACGAGTATCGGCATGACACAGGAGACGGTCACGCCACGATGATGCCTGCTTTGACGCACGGACCTACGAATACGGCGGTGACACTAACAAACAGGTAGAGGGAGTCAGGTACGGATACTACGTGTACGGGGTGATACGGGCCAGGAGGAAGGGAAGGGGACGACGAATGAGACGGTGCAGGTGGATGCCATCAAGCGAGGAACCAAAAAATCCATAATACTACGAGCGCAGATTACGGATTACGGAGGACAGATTTACGGAGTATCACTACATACATACGTATATTCTGACCACGGCATTATCAATAATACTACACCGGCAGAGCTGTAGGGCGAGGCAGAGAACGGTGCGGGACGGGATCCGGCGGTCGAGGCGGAATCCCGAAATCCGATCGAGATCTCCACCTGCATGGTTACTCTAGAGACTAAACGAGAGCCCCGCGGTCTGTCTTATTTTTTTTTTTATGAAAAAAAAAAAATTAAAAAAAATTTTTATGCTGCTGTTCTCTTCTCGTCTTTCTACTTTTGGTCTCCCCCCCCTCTTCCCCTGCTCCCCTGCTCCTTGCTGTGGTTGAAGCCCGGTCGGCCATGACGGAGTAGCGTAAGCTGACGCTGATTGAAACCCGCAATGGGAACCGAGGTTGATGTGATTCCACCTTGTAGTCGTATCATTTTCATGGAGGGTTTTTATTATCACTTTTACATTCCATCTTTACTATTAAAAAAAAGTAGCGGTATTCAATTTCTATAATCATGTTATTGTAGGAAGATGGAATTATTGAAGAGAAGAAGAAGAAGAAGAAAATGAAAAGAAGAACTCCCCCCCCCCCCCCGTCATACTCTTTTACTGGTCTTTCCCTTGAATGAAAAAATAACATTATGACGATAAATGTTACCCTGTCGCCTCACGGATC